AATGAAGAGTAGATTCTGTAGACTAAGCTCCTGTTTTGGTTCTATGACCATCCTGGGGCATCCCAGGGAAGCAGCTGCTGTCTCGGGGTGCCTCTCCCTCTTTCTGGGCTCTCTCATGGGTGCTGCTTCTTTGTGAGCTCTGCTTTGGTTGGTTAGTCTCATCTGGAAAGCAAATGTGAGGTTGTTCCCTCTTCAGCCATGGCAAATGTATTGTAAAACACTATTTAAAAACAAACTAGTGCTTCCTCATTGTTCGTTTGCACGTGTACAACTGAGGCGCATGTTGAAACTAACTGACCTGGGACCCACCCCCAAACTTCGTAACTCAACCTGGAAGGAGGCCAGGATACTTCATCTTAAAAGACTGCTTCCCCAGGTTAATCAACCATACCTGGAGAAAGTGTTTTAAATCTACTTCATAAACTTAAATGTATTATATATATATATATATTTTTAAAAATCACATATTTGTGTTGACATCTATGGTTTCCATGGGAAGTTAAACACTTGTCAATGTACTTACTAGTGTTGTGTAAATATTGTTTAAAAATAAAAAACTGTTTCATCATTCTTTTAAACATATCCAGTGTAATTCAAATGCACCTCTTGTTTATAAAAATTAACTAGTAAACTCGAGTTTTACTATGTGAAATTTTTAAATTACTTTTTTTTCCTCCCTTGCGTATATTTCTATACTACTGTGAGCAAAGGGATTGTTTTTCTTTTTTAATATAACATTTTTATTGATTCATTTTATTGACGATTTTATACATATTTTGATCATATTCACCCCTCCATTCTTCCCCAACTCCTCTCATATCCACCTCGCCCCTCCTAATAGTGTGTCGTCTTTTCTTGATAACCCAAAGAATACAATGGTGCTGTCTATGTATTTGTGCATGTCAGACCTTTCAGTAGATCTACTAAAGTAGACCTACCAAGGGCCACAGCCTTAAGGAAAAACAACTCTCCTTCCAGAAGCCATCTACAGTCCATAGGGGTAGGAGCTGGGAGCTCCTCCAGGCTGCACTGTTGACTGTCTTGATCTGGTGCAGGCAGCCACAGCTGCTGACGGCTGGCCCTTCTCCCTTCATGGCCCTGGCAGCCTGGCATGGAGACAGTGATAAATGGGATGTGATGGCTCACTCGTGGCCAGCAGTCCACAGAAGACACCTACTTACTCTCTGTAGCTGGCCAGTTGTGACACTGCATAGTAACTGCCTTCCACTTCACCATGAAACTTCCGATGCGGTCTGAGAGCTGCTGAGACCTGGCTGCTTTCTTTGCTTGTTTAATTTAATTTTATTTTTTTACTTATTAGCTTTACATCCTGCTCACTGTCCCCCTCCCAGTGACCTCCCCCCAACAACCCTTTCCCTAAACTCCTCCCTTTCTCCTCTGAGCAGGTGGAGGCCCCCAGGGGGCCCACACACACATGTCAAGAGAATGACGTGAAATTGTGGCTCCAAGCTGACAACCTGTGAGGTTCTGCTTGATGCAGCATCTCCAGTCTGTTTCTATGTTCTGCTTTCTCTCTGGAGATCTGTCTGTGTTCTGTTTGCCTGCTATTCTAAGAGATCTCTCTGTCTGTGTCCTGCTTGCTTGTGTGTGTGTGTGTGTGTGTGTGTGTGTGTGTGCACTTGTGTTTGTGTGTGCTTGTGTGTACATGTCTCCAAGCAGTTCTCTCTTTTTATCCTAAAAAATTCTCAGCAATAGGCCTATCATACATGTATACTAACACCAAGTCTTGGGTCTCTGTGGAAAAACATTGAAACAGATGGCTATAAGCTAATGTAAACAGGCAGCTTTTGTGGAAATTTACCAGCCTGAGTAATCATAGACCTTGTAAATAGGTATCCTTGGTGGATAATACTAACTTAGATAAGGACAAGTGACTCATAGACAGAATCATAGTGACCTGTCCCCTGAACCTTCACCCAGCCGATACCATGTTCTGAAAGATTTCTGTAGTCCCCCTGAACACCCACGCTCCAGTGTCATCTCCTTCTCCACGTCCTGTGTGAATAAGTAAAAATTATGATTTGATTTTTAAAAAAAAATTCTCTGGATAGCTATTCCCTGCAGAACACAGGTCCGGTCTTTTATTTTACATATCAATCCAGTCATTTACTCCAGGTTTTCCTTTTGATTACCAATTAGCATCCCATGACCCCAGCCTTTTGATTCTTAGGAGACAGCAAGCATACATTTTTTTTCCTCAACATGCAAAAGAATTCAGAGATTTGTCTGCCTTTGTTAAGCATAAACGATAAACTAATTGGGTCGGACCCTGTCCTGAAATTGCCAATTCCACCACAACTGGGCCTGGACTTGCTGTGTCTCAGGCTGACCTTGAACTCAGGAATCTGCCTGCATTTGTATCTGCCTGTCTTTGTATCTAACAAGCTGGCTCGTAATGTAGCTAGCTACCTCTGTTCCTTTAGATTCATGAAGCCCCTCATAATTCATACTGTATCCTTATGTTTTGCATAGTTGAGAAAGTGTATATATTTTGAACCCATGTTCACATCCTTAAAGACTGTCCTGAAGGTCCCAGTATTTACCATTTTGCTGAGACATAAGCCACACCCTCAGTTCCTGGACTTGTGCTATTTCTAATTATCATGCAGTCATTAACGTTAACAGGGAGGACATTCCTTGGAAGGAAAGGAGTCCTCCATTGCTAGTGGGTCCAGAAAATATGTACATTATTACACAAACAAACTTACACCCACAGAAGCCATCGATACTTGTGGAGGTACATACCAGGGCCTTGTCCCAGGGGCAGGAACCATGTCACTCTGTCCCTACTAGGGCCATGCCAGGTGTGGCAGGGATAGCCCTGTTCCAGTTGTTTGGGACCCACATGAAGACCAAGCTGCATATGTGCTACATATGTGCTGGGCGGCCTAGGTCCAACCCATGTTTTTTCTTTGGTTCGTGGTTCAGTCTCTGAGAGCCCCAAGGGTCCAGGTTAGTTGACTCTTGTTGGTCTTCCTGTGGAGTTTCTACCCCTTCGGGGCCCACAATCCTTCCTCCTATTCTTCCATAAGATTCCCTAAGCTCCATCTACTGCTTGACTGGAGGTGTCTGCATCTGTCTGAGTCAGCTCAGACAACATGCTCCTGTCTGCAAGCATTAACAGCATGTCATTATAACAGTGTTAGGGATTGGTGCTTGCCCATGGGATAGGTCTCAACTTGGGTTGGTTGTCCATTTCCTCAGCCTCTGCATTTCTTGTAGACCAGATAAATTTTGGGTTGAAAGTTTTGTGGGTGTCTTGATGTCTCCACTGGGGTTCCTGCCTGGCTATAGGAAGTGGCCTCTTCAGGTTCCCTATCCCCAGCAAAGGAATTTTTTTATCTGTTTATTTTTATGCTTGGCATTCTTATCATTTGCTTTTTATCAGTAAAATATATAAATCTAAATAACTTAAGTACTTATTACAGAGTAAGTGTTTTAACAATTATTAGTATACATTAGAAGAAATGATTATTTCAATAATAGTAATTACAATTATGTTGTTAGAATGTTCTTGTTCCTAACTTGTTTATTTACCCAATATATAAATATTAGTTCTGGTGAGATAAGGCTATCCAGTGTCAGTTACATTCCTTTTTCACTTTTTATTATTTATGAGCTCAGAAAGTAGGTGAGTATGAATCCTAACAACTTTTTTATAATTGCTTTGAAATTTGTGAGAAAACGCATACTGTTTGCATTAAAATTAATAATGATCTTTCAGTTAACAATTTGATTATACCTTCCTCTAGTCTGCTGCAAGCCAAGAACTGCAAACACTTGCCTTTCTAAGGAGTTGCTACCTGCCCATTAGGACTGTTTACTTTTAATACTAGCATGGACATTTCCTTTGCTCATGCCCAGAAGTCCTTGAGCTCTAGAAGGCCCACACTGGAGTAAGTTGGATTGACCCTTTGTCATTGTGAAAGGGAAAGTAACACCCTTAGCAGCAGGAATTTCAGAAAGATCAGATTTAAATATAAAGACAGTAATATACCTTTATCCATGTGTCCCACTGAAGTACAACCAGTGTATGAATGGAGTAGACAGCACCTACAGAAAGCCCGTAACAAAAGAGCATGAAAAATAAGGCTTGCCTATGTAGTACTGTGTGCTTATGGTGGTAGTAAACAGTCTGCTTTAACAACAGAGGAATCTGAAGATCAGCATAGATCACTTTATTCTGTGCCAACTGGGGAGGGAAAAGGGCTGCTATGGTGTAAGAAAATTTAAAAAAAAAAAAATCTGTGCTTCTGTAACAGCATGTAGGACCAGTATAGAATCCAGTGTTAGTTCAGAAGACACTGCATAGCTGCAGGTTCTAACCGTAACAGGCGTGTGGTTAGGGAAGGATATTAGACCCACATTCTAAATGTGCTGTTAATTTTGTTTTCTTTAGTCAGCTTCATTGTCAGTCTTCGTTTACTGCTTTTTCTTTGGATGGTCCATCCCTAAAATGTCCACATTTAATATCAGGTATACAGATGTTCAGCTCTGCTGAGATCGTGGGGATCACCTCCAGGCCTTTATACCCACAAGTGACACTAAAAGAATACCAGTTCCTATAATGCCCCTAAGGCATGGGCATTATTGGGTATGACTGCCCCACTTAGAAAATAGAAACCTAGCTTTTTGACCAGTGTTAACAACTCACTCTATACTGGTTTAAAATAACTCTCCCTATAGATAGATAATGTGCATATTTATCAATATATAATGCTCTGATAAGAGATTTCTGAAATGAAATCGCTTCTTTCTAGAATCTAGAAGTTTCAAAAGGTACAAGGTCCCGGTTCTTTGACTTTAGTTTCCATTACGTGGAGAGTGTTTATCCAACTGTAGCCTCTCAACGGACTGGCTGCAGCTCCCCAGTGTCTGTAAAGCAGCATTCCTTCCTCCCTTGGGCTCTACTGATGGGCTAGGCTGTCAGCACTCCTTCCTACCAAAAACTACATGGTAAAGGATCACAGCACACAGGCTCATGTTAAAATGTGAACTTTAATTGTAAAAATTTTTTTTTTGTAAATATAGTTATTATCAACCTCTCCACATAACTTGGTTCAGATATATACAGATACGATATACACAGGTGTTAACTTGTACCACAGAAAGAATCAATTCAAGAAACATTGACACTTAGCCTTGGGGTTAAGCCCAGCTTCCTTCAGGTCTGTAAATAATACTCCATTGAAGACACAGAGAAAGGATACATCGGTTTGCAGTAGTACCCAGAGCAAAACTTACCAGCATTCCTTCTGACTTTGTCATATGAGGTAAAGACTTGAAACAAAAATAGACTCTGGTCCTTTTATTGCTATAACTCTTAGGCTGGGGTTATTACTCAAAATAGGCTTTTACACTTAAGGCAACAGGAACACTATGTTTAAAAAAAAAAAAAACAACCTAGGAAAACATATTTCCTTGTTTACCATGATTTCTTTTTCAGGAAGGATTATATTCCAGACTTACACAAAAATTTATCCAAGTTTCCGGCAAATGAAGTTGGTTCGTTTCCCCGTCCCAAAGCCTGGCAGCCAGTTATGCAGACAGTTCAGGAGGACAGAATCCTCCATTTCTCATGGCTGAAGGTATTTCTGATGGGCAAGGAAAGTGAACTTTGGGTTTGCCTGACTTTTTTTATATATCTTTGCTTAATTTACCCAGATACAATGTCAATTTTGTATATATATGTATTTGCTCTGTATGGGCTTTTCACTTTGCAGTTTCATCTAAGCACATTTATAAAACCCTGCCCTGCCCCAGTGAGCCCCAGGATCATTAGGAAGCAAAGTAAACTCGCCAGACAAAACAGGCACCTGCTGCAAAAGTGAACAAATCCTCTGCTGTAAACCTGTCAGAATTTAAGTCAACATGGTTCTGAGAGCTAGCACCACGCTGACATTCTAGAACAAGCTCCAAAAGGAGTCTTATTTATCCCACCTTCGTTTTTCTACATAGCACCAGAAAAGTCCTATTCCTTTTCCGAATTTACAGTATCACACAACTTCCAGGACTTAAAATGAATTAAAGTGCCAGATAGTAGACTACCTCCCATTCCCCGCTCTCTCCCTTGACCAAGAGGGGAGAGTCACTGAAAGGCTATTTATGCTCTTCTGTTCCAGAGCTTTGCCCAAGGTCACTGTCCCTCTCATCCTTGCCAGGCCAGTTGACTTTACTTCCTGTAAAGCTGCTGGAATAATGCAGCAGAGGGTGTGTGTTAAGGCTTCACACTACCACGGACAGTGACATGTCTAAGAGCCTCCGCTGCTATTAAACTACAAAGCTGCCCGTTGCTTTTTAGGTGATAACTTTGCAATTCCTTTCCATTTCAACGCTTCGGTACTTAATTCACTACTCAGTAACACTGGTATAAAAATAAACTTCCATTTCTCATAGGAAAAGCATTACCTTTACTCACTGTCTTTTCCCCACAACACTGAGTACTTCAGTAGCTCCTGGGAACAGAGGTATATTAGCAATAAAGTGGAATAGTCAAAGCCCATGACTTGGGTAAAAAGGAGCCCTTAACTCCTCCCCTTCCCCTACCTGACTGAAAAGCATTTTCAGGAAAAGGGATGAAACTGGGCCTGCTGAGTTAAGCCTATGGGCCTTCGGGAGCCTCACCATGGGTAGAACTATGGGCTATGAGGGAGAGATGGATGCTGGGCATCTCTCAGAATTGTGGCCTATCAGCCTGGAAGCCTAGGGGAAGACTTCCCATGGGTGCTCCTGTCAGTTTTCAAGCTCTTCGAATAATAAGGCATGTTCACTGTGAGACCCAGCATTATCTTATAGTTCTGTTCACCCACACCCTGTATTACTTCTGCAAGGGCTATCACACTGGACTTGGAGAAAGCATCTCAACCCACTCTCTGGTTGTGCAGTTTAAGGGAAAAGACAGTTCCCAAGTCCTTGCATCTCTCAGAGGCTGGCTTTTGCCACCAACTAATTCACTACAACCCTTTGAGAAGTCTCCCCTAAAGCTTCAGTGGAAGGATGAGTCCGTCTTACCTTTCCAGCATCAATAGGGCTTTCAGTGCCTCAAGACAGGAGGTCCATCCTCCTTGCCGTGAGAACGAAGACAGCAATTAGCTATGGTTTAATTTACCTTTATCATCTAGCTAAAGCATATTAGGTAATTGTGTAAGCGAACCTTCCCATGAAGCATCTGGCACTACTGTATCGGAGCATCACCCTGACCTTTCCGTGGTTTCCAGCAAGGTAAGTTACAGTTTCAAGTTCCTGTCCTAACTTCTATCCCAGCAATGAGACCAGCTTCTCTTCAGAAGCCAGAATGGGTGGGAGGTGTGGGAGGCAGATGCCTCCTGTCACATTGTACTCCTAACCGACTGGACCATATGGGCCCCAGGTAGGACACCGACACTGGCCTGGATCCAGGCCCAGCATAGGGAAGGCTTCATGTTTAAAGCCAACACTAATACCAGGCAATGACTTGGCCTTCTTTTATAGACTGGTAGGAGATAAGCTCTGCTATTTTTACTGCTTCTGAGGAAAGAGTCCTGAGCCAGGCAACAACTAGCTGAGAGTAGTACCATCTGCTGACAAGACTGAACACATCCACTTTAAGGGGCTTTTGTTATGCTCAGTGTGTTGTACTTAACATGGGTGTCCACAAACCCAGTACCCCAGTTTCAGGGAATCTGAAGACTGTTGCCATTGGAAATGTCTTCTACCTTAAAAATGACTGAATAGCCAGCAATGCAAGTCAGCAAGTGCTTCCAGGTTAGCACACGGTTCCCAGCATGGTACAGATGGGGATTAGTGCTCTCCAGAAGGGCTCTGCCAGCTCAGGCAGGGGTCTGATGAGAGCCACCAGCAGAATGGCAGGACCCACATCGGAGTTTTTAGCCCTCTTCCTAGAGGCCAGTGTTAAGAAAAAAACGTCAGTTTCTGCTAACGGTCAGAAAGCTATGAAGGATATGAATTAACTTCTTCCAAATAAAGCCTTTTCAGAAAGTATTTCAAGAGTGACAGGCGAGCACATCCTGTGGCTGCTAGCTCCTGCCATCACTGTAGAGGGATTCCTATATAGTTCTCCACAAACTTCTTCCTTTTATAGGACACTCACAGCATATTATGCAGGCTTGCATCTGCTAACTAACTGCCACTGGGGGAGCAGTCTGGTATGACTTCATAGTGACATGGACTGGGCTCACTTCTCAAGACGTACTCTGCAGCAGATAAATGGGGCAAAGGTACAAGGGGTGCTGACAAACACACTGTCAGCCACACAGATGCCTGTGTCAGGTTCTGGGCCTATGAGGAAGCTGGCAAGGTAGGGAAGGACTGAAGGAGATATTAAACAAGAAGTTCTGCTCTGGTGGTTAGCAAGCCCAGAGCCTAAGACCTAACACAGCTGCTCAGTTACAAAGAAACCAAAAGGCCCAAGTTAACAAAGGACAGCCTTTCTCACCCTTGCTACCTTTACATCAGAAATTCTCAGCTTGCTGCCTCAACAGCACAGGAAACAGTGTTGGCATACAGAAGGCTCTAGGGAGGTTCTCAGAAATGGGGTCTTCAAGAAACTGAATTCTAAAGAGAGTCCTCCAGTCCCTCAGAAACAGCAGCCTGCTTTTACTCCTGCTCCTGTCTCTGGCTATCTACCCCTGACTTTGAGCTTTAGAGCCCAATGGAACTGTTGCTCCATCAGCATCAGGTAGTCCCTGCTCAGCCCTGGGTCAAGAGAAGGTAGCCATAAGGACAAAGCAGGAGAAACTTCTGCCACTGAGCACAGCTGTGGTTTTTTGTAAACATTGTGTTACTGGAATGATGGCTAGACCCACATTGCAGAGGAAAAAAATCAGTTAGCTGGGACAGTTTATGTCAGTGCCTAAACTTATTTATATATTTACAGAAAAGATGTTACCCTGACTCATCAGTGTCTCTGCATTTTTACAGACTAACCTCTTCACTCTTGTTTTTTTTTTTTTTTTTTTTTTTTTAAATCAAGGAGTACAGTGAAAATACTTGAGCTAAGCAATAAGCCTCAAGAACCTAGAACTGAGTTACGAGGCACAGCCCCTCCTTCTGAAGTCCTCTCTGCTGTGGACATCAGCCTGGGTGCTTTTCAGGTACAGACATGGATGTTTGATGGCTGGTTCAATGTTGAAAGCTATTCACATGGCTTTCTGAATATGGTTAACAACTGCCCTTCCACATAGTCCATGAGTCCAAAGTATCCCAGCCCCAAAGTACAAAGTGACTGCAGTCCGAGATCACAGACCAAAAGAAGCAGGCATGGTTGTTAGTCTGGGAATTCCAGCTATTCTCTTGGATGGGAGGCACTGGTATAGTTTCCCTGTCAAATCTCTTAGGTCTGTAGATCCAATTGCTTAGCCTAAGGAATGTTGTCTCTGCTTAAGAGACATCTGTGGGAGTTTCAAATTGGTGACGAGACCTGTTAACATCACATTGCAACCTGAGTCAACCAGCGTGGACACTGGCCACATTGCAGAATTCATCAGAAGTATCTGCTGCGTACCTTTCCTCCACAGAGCTCTTAAGAGAAACTGGAGATTTCTTCCCTTACCTGTTTGAACCTGTTAGTCCAAGAGTATATTCAGAGTTTAAGAGACTCAATGTCAGACGACTTTGCTTGTAAGCTTAGGGCCAGCACCACCCTTCAGCATTGGCCAAGAGGATCGGTGGGGCGCATACTGTAACTCATAGCTACCATTCCCTTACTTGGGAAGATTTCAAGGATTCTTTCCCTGACATTCTATCAGAAACATTTTTTTCCTTCTTTGTGGTCCCTCTACTCCAGCAAATCGAGAAAGTGCAGAATTGCCCTCTGACCAATAGGTGATCCCAACTTGACTCCTTGAACTTAGTGACCTTGAAAGGTCATCTGATTAGTTTCTGTTTGTAGGCAGATGAACATCTAAGGCCACACAAGGACACATGGTTATCTTATTCTCGTATGCAACAAAGGATGGAGACATACAGGTTTTCTGAACAGTTCATCCCAGAGTTTGACTCTGACTCACAGAACTCCTAAGACTAAACCCAAAGAAGCAGCAGTGGAAGACAGTAGATTCCCACGTCCAACCAAAGGCTACAAAAGCCTAGGCAGTCTCACCCCAGCCCCAGGGCTGAGGCACAGAAAGAAAATGGCAAAAATTACACGTGTTGGAAAGTATAAACAGTCCTTAGTGTCACCTTAATTAAAACTGAAGCTGCTGAGGGCCTGGGGTGCACTCCAGGCTCCTGTCACCACACACGAGTGTCTCACCATCAGTCCTATTACACTTCCTATGGACAACAGGGGTTGTCAATGACCAGCATGACGTCAATACCATAGGCCTCCAGCAGGTCCATGAGAAAGCTCCTGTCTCCCTGGGGATCCAGTCCCATGCCTCGGGCATGCTCCGCTGTTAGAGTTTTGTCTTGGCTGGCTGACACCTCCAACAGAGTCTGAAAAATCCGGTTGTTTTGTTCTAGGAAAAACCTGCATTTCCAAGACAGAAAAGGAAGAGAAGACAAGAGAAAAAAAGCTCATCTAGATAACCCAAACAAGGAGAGCCCCATCTGTGCTGGGTAGTCTACTTTTACAAGTCTTCCAAACTTGTAACAGTTTTTAAAGAGGGTAAAAGTTAAACTGTTACTAGTGTAATGAGGTCAGCAAGGAAAACACACAGCAAGAATTGCAGTATCTCTGACTGCTGTTTTCCTGTTTTAAACATAGCCCCTTGGAGAGGTTCCATAGACAACTTTGCTCCCTCTGAGAAACCTTCAGGAAAGCAAGTGAAGACACAGAACCTAATAAGGCAGTTCTGAGACCGAGACTTCAAATAAGAGACTAAAATGCACATTTTCAAAGCCCTGACTGGACCACAGAAGCCTCACTGGAGAGCATAGGGTTCTGTGCTAGCCCTGCAGTCCTAGGTCACTGATGCTGTACCCAGAAAGGGAGAGCTCAGAGATGCTGGAGTAGGCACAGCAGTTCTGAAGCCAGCAGTGTGGAAAGGGGAGGCAAGCCATACTAACTGAGAACGGCACAGCTCACACTGTGTGTTTGCTCCACGTGGGAGGGTGTCTGGAGGAAGAGCATGCATAAAACAGGATTCAGAGTCACAGCTTAGGAAGACGTTAGTTCAGCCAGGCTGCTTGGGGGATTGGCGAACTTCTACAGACATATCAAAATGGCTTAACCAGACTGTCTGCCCATTCACTCAGCATGCATGCATTAGAAAGGAGCCTCAAGAACAGGATAAACCTCTGTGGAGATGCCCTCATCTAAACTAGGACCTCTCCTGGAGATCTGTTTCTACTTCAATTACAGTTCTCCTCTAATTCTGAAACAGGATTTCCTGTGGCCACTTGAGTGTCATGTGTACTATGGCTACCAGACCTGGGGAAGAGAGATTACACTGTATTCAAGAGCTGGATTTTCAGATGATCTCATAATACCCAGCATAAAGAACTGGTCTTTTCAGAGGAGACAATGAATGAGAGGGTGGAGAGATGGGCAGCTATGTGGTGACATTCTGGATGCAAATGTTCAACACAATGCACTTTCAGGGTCCCCATTTTCTTCTCTACCTGCCCCATCTCTTCAGCCACTCTGCATTCACCCTGATAGCTTTCCAGGACTCAGGCTACCTCTAAGGACAGAACACTGAGAGTCCTGACAATGATAAAGGCCACCCTCCACTGCAGTGAGTTTCATGGGAGGGATGCAAGTTGTTCATAGAAGTTGGTACTGAAAGCATTCCCAGAGCCCCACAACTGATGTCCAGGCTGACTCACAGCACAAAGAGGTCCTCTTCACAAGGGTTGTAGTCTCCTTCAACTTCCTGGGAGTACAGAAGCATCTGCCTGTTGGAAGGGAGAACACTATCAAACTCCAGTGGCCACTGGATCCAATTATGTAATTGGCAGCAACAAACACCAACAAATGGCCATATCTCTCAGGAAGCAGCACCACCCAGAGTTGTACCAGGCCTGAGGTAGAGTAAACAAGGAACAGAACCTGGACTCAAACCCAAGATCTATGGCCCATTTTGCCAGTGGTTCCCACCCCTCTCCCCTGTTAGTCATAGGACTGTTTTGTCTAATTGTCCACTGACTGGGGATTATATGCTAACCCTTTATTTTGTAGGATAAACAATTGAGTTACATGGGACAGTGTACATACACAAGCTTCCTAATGGGTCCACACAAAGTAGATGCTCAGTAAATAGGTATTCCCAACATACAGGCCAATCTAAGCAAGATCTTTCGGGTGTTTCTGAAAGGAAGTGTGACTGGCTCCTTCACCAGGGTTTAGATTCTCAAGCCCATTCAGGAACCACTTATGCGTGTCTGCTACCCTGCAGTGAGGGCAAGATGGAGGAATTGTCAGCCCTCCTAAAGGACAGACTTCCCCTTGATTTCCAGAGATTAGGAAAGCCCAAGGAAAGTGGTGGTAGAGTGGGCTTTTCGTAGATTTCACAGGACCACCCTGAATAGGATGCTGCTCGTGACTGGCCTTCAAGTCCCTGTTAGCACAGCACTGGCCTGGCCTGCACTGGCTAGCACACATGGCATGCATACGGCAGCCGGGCTGCCTCACCTCTGCTCATTGAGCCGACGGTACTTCTCCCTATCTGCACTGTTGATCTTCAGCAGGGGTTGCAGGTGGTCATGGTGTGTCTTTACATTCTGGTTATCCACGTAGACATCGTACAGCTCACGCTTCTCCTCAAATATCTTCTCTGTGGTGCCTGTGGAGCCTAGGATTAATGAGGTGTGAACCCCAGGGGGACACACACACACAAAGCCAGCCCAATCTTACTACAGAATCAAGCATCAAGAGTCTCTTTCTGAGAGAATGGTTTGGACACAGGGAGAGGAGGGGAGGGGCCCATACTCACAGGCTACATAGGACACCTCAACTTCCAGGCTCTCAATGTCAGCCACGTTCACATAGAAAAAAGGCTTCGACTCAGGGATGGTGCCCCCAATGCCAGGCAGGGAGACATTGGCCAGACAACAGCAACAGTACACTGTAAGAGTGGGACACCAGAAGTGAGGAATTTTTCCCTTTCCTCCACTCAAGACCAAGCAGGGCCATACCTCAGAACACTTGACCTACAGGAAGCTGCTACATTCTGTTGTTTGTTCTTGCCAAACCCCATATTGAGGCTTGGACACCAGTGTAATAATATTGGGAGATTAGGGTCCCTAAGATGGAATTAGATCACAGAGGTGCTACCCTTATAAAACGTTTAATGTAGTCTGGAGACACTGAGTCAGTTATCTCTAAAGTTATAAAGGGAGCACTCCTTCCGCAATGCCTTCTTTCATAAATAATCTCTTCCACCATGAGGCCTCAAAAGCTGACCAAAGCCAAAAGCCAACATCATTCTCTTGGACTTTGAGAACCATGAGCTCAAACAAACCTTTTATGATTTCTCAGCCTCAAGGGTTTGGCTAGGCCAATGGGAAGTTGTCTCGGAAGCTGGGGAAGGCTTTGTTTGTGCTACCTATCCTGTAACTAGGTAGTCTTGGAAATTCTTCAGGGCCCCACTGAAGAACCTGATATCTTAAAGTTCTCATTGGCAGTTTATCACCAAATGGATGCTTTCTGAATTTCTCTAACTAACCTGACTGGCCTTCTTCCTCCTCAAGGCTGTGGCTCGCTAGAACCTCCCATCCTCTGGTCCTCCCCTTTCCATGCTCTCCTTCGGCCTCCTGCCCTTGCACCACTATTGGCCAACCTCTTACACCTGATACCTTCATTCGTCACTCCCTCCAGATAATGCCATCATTCCATGGTTATTAGATAAGCTTTATGTCACTCTCAAACCCAGCTATTCCCCAGAGGTCCTAACACAATCACCCAAGTGCCTGATGCACATCTATCTCCCTGGAAATGTCGCAAGTGGTGAACACCCATCGTGTTCTAAGTTAGCCCACCACTAAACAACTCATTACTCCTTGGACCCCACTCTTGGTGGCTTCATGATCCTTGTCATCCTAGACTCTTCCTCACCTATGCCCTTGCATACTTAGCTAACCTGATCCAGTTTACCTCTTACCCACAATCCATCATCTCTGCTTCAACCCAGACCCTTATCTCTCCCCAGATACTAAGGTGACCCCCACCTCCCATCCATCTTCATTGCCTCCAGACTCCACACTCTAAATCCAATCAGAAGCCTTGATCCCATTGAAATGGCCCAAACTCTTACAAAGTTGGTCAACAACTGAAGGATGAGGGCATGTGGATTGGGCTACTGGTTACCTCTATAGCACACGACACCCACGGGTGGGGGAGAAAATATCAGAATGCGCTTTCGAAGTAAGGCGAACTTCCAAAGAATGAGGATCTGTTCTCCAAAGAACTTAATAAACTGAGACATGCAGCCAGCCGGGTGTGTGATCTGGAAACACAAGGGCAGGTGGACAGCTTGTTAGAGCTTGGCACTGTGAAACAGCCTTCTGTTAAAAACTCCCATCAAGCATTAAGAGACAGTTGCTTCCACACAAAATGGTTATCTGATGTTTTAAATTTTTCTTTAAACTGGATTTCTCTGATGCATCAGCTCCCCTGACAGAATGAAGTTTGAATTTAAGGACTATAAATACTTTACTCCGGATAGAAATGCAGAGGAAACAGCTGAATTTTATTACTTAAAAGAGAGATTGCTCCCCCTAGAGAGGGAACCCACTCAGAGGAGAAGAGGGGGGTTGGAGGGAGGATTGTAGGAGGAGATGACCAGGAGGTGGGCAGTGAGAAGGATGTAAAGTGAATTAAAAAAAAAAAGATAGCTCAAATGATTCAGTGTGCTTACTGTGCGATCATGAAAATAGCACTCATGCAACAGGCATCCCACAAACACCTGCAGCTCCTGACCCAGAGGATCCAAGCCGCGCCCCCCCCACTCTCTCTCCTGACACAGGTCCATAGATACACATAAACTACCCTTGAAGATCCAGCAGGCCTTTATCACAAAAACACTATTGTATGTGATAAAGTGAAGAGCAAACAGTCTGAAGTTGGGGTTCCCGGTATGCAGGGACCAGGGGACTACTGTGTACAGCAAGGTATCTGCAGTAGTTACAGGCAGGGACGGTACAAGGGCCTCATGAATACCTCTGCTAAACCTCAACTCTAACCAACTTCCTTGGGAAAACAACTGCAGGGAGGCCCCCTCCCCGAGGGCTGCCTTCTGGAAGGACAGTGCCAGGGGCTTAGAACATGAAATTGCACTCTGCCTCTGTCATCTACTAACAAGGAAGCCTGGGAAAGTGACCCAATATTTCCAGTCTGCTCTCCTAGTCTGTATAGTGAGGAGACCAGACCATGGGTTACCTCACTAGGCTTAAAGACCACCTGAGCCAAAACACGAGTGACTTAAAGCTAGGAACAGCCAAGACATAGAGAACTCCACTGTCCACTGGCAGAATAGAGGCTTCAACTCAGAGTACTACAGAGGCCTGTAAGTACTTCAAAAGGGCACTTGGATGCTTAGTTGCTGGCATTAAGAATGTTCATCTGCCATAAGAAAGGCGGGCCAGCCAAGTTCTGAAGGCAGGCAGCTACTCTAAAGTCCACACTGAGTTTAATAGGCTGAGAGGTGTGTGGAGGGCCCAAATACTAAGCTAGCCCTGGGGCAGCCCCTGCATTCTGCCTCCAATGGCTGTCCTCCATCCCTAAAGCTTTGACTGGACTACCTGGGAGAAGAATTTTCCTTTCCAAGGCAACCTCCACCCTGACACTCGATTCACCACCCCCACACTGCATACACAGCTACCCTCCTGAGCACATCCACTGTGACTCTTAGCCTCTCTATGTCATTCAGTCACCAGAAGAGAAGACCCCGGTTGAGAAGACTGGTCAGATCTCTCTTCAGCCGCTGTCTTCTATCAGGCCAAAACAGCGGACAGACAAGAAGGGAACCAGAGGACAACCTGTTCTTCCCTACCTTCCTTCTGCCATCTTCAGGCCTTTGACATGTATGCGCATGCACTGCACACGGGTCTGATGGGGCTTGTACAGATGTGTCCTAGAATAAATTATTTACCCCAAGTTCTCATCTCATTTATCTGTTCATATTCACATATGCATTAACAGGAACTACCTCCCAAGTGATGACTTTGTGCCTAAGTACGACGGATTCTAGTTTCAACCGTGAATAGACACAGTCGGGTCCTGACTTCCACAGATAATTGGCGAGCAGAGCAAATCAAAAAGCAACTAGAATGCAGCCTGGGGAGCCAGCGAGGTGAAAGGACAGCAGTCATTGGGGGCAAATGGGAAAGTGGTTGACTGCATTCTGGTAGATGGTGAAGGCTTCCCGAAGGAAGGGACATCTAAGCATCAACATGATGATCTGAAGGACACAGTCTTGGCAGAAGAAGGTGTATATACAAAGTCGCCTGTGCCAAGGAAGTGCTGGGATAGCCACCACAGGGTGTCTTCCTCTCTCCTGAAGGTTAGTCACAGATCTCATACCCTTCTGCACTGTACCCTGGTCAGAGCACAATGAGGCGTTTCTCTCGCTTTGATTTACATGTCTTTCTTTCTGAGCTTGTTTCTCTCTGGCTTTTACAGAGAACAATAAAATTTTCCCACTGTGAACATGTACATGATCTTCCATAAAAAGCGAACGCACTCATATCCCGTATAGCCAGTATCCATGGAGGACTGCTTCCTAAGACCCACTCCCCAGACACCAAAACCTATGGAGACTTGGTCTCTTGTATAAAATGAAAAAAAGTACTAGCATGTAACATACACAGTTTTTCCCATACACTTTAAATCACCTCTAGATTACTGATATACTTCCTACTCTATAAATGCTATGTAAATCACTGGGTAGCACTTCCTGCAGAATGAGAACAGAGCCTGTATGTGTTCAGATGTGTTGCCTGACTCTGCGGATACAGAATCACAAATACAAGGCTGGCTATATATGACTTCTAGTGCTGTCATTTTGCCCAAGCCTGTCCTGTGTTACCCATGGAAGCAATGCCCGCCCCCATACTTCACCCTGCCCTCGGGCCATATATACATCAATAACTATAGGTTCACTCATATTGTTCTGTCTCCACAGATAACATGTGTATGTATATTCATAGAAAATACTAGCATGTAAGATCAGTTCTTCCCATATACTTTAAATCACCTGTAGGTTACTGATATATCTAATACCTTATAAATGCTACATAACCCAGTGTAAGCACTGTTTGCAGAATAATGAGGAAAAAAGCCTGTATGAATTCAGAATAGATATGTTGCCTGTGCTGGCATCTCTGAGGGAAGTGCTGTGCCTCTTAGAAAATACATAATATGTTTATTATGGTTTTGTTGGAGACTGATGGTTTAATAAGGTGTGGTCATAGTAGGTATAGTTTTCTGCCCTTGCTACAAAAAAGACCCAGTAGAACTTTTCTGTCGTCATCTTATGATCTGATTTGTTATTCAAAATGGCAGTTTACTACATGAATATTCAGTCTCTCTACTACTTGAACACTGCAAAATTACACACACACACACACAAATATGTGTGTGTTCTGGTGTTTTCATATCTAAAGGGCAGATCCCAGCAGTGCAGTTGCTAAAACAAAAAAAAGTTTACTTTTTATTTTAATTTTAATTGCTGACATGCTGTTTTCTGATAAAGAAGACTTCAGCACATTTGTATCTTCAGCGTATGTAAGTATCTTTCTACCATATCTGCGAGCCTGACAGGTCTGTTAATAAGTTGTCTTTAATGGGGTAAAGGCAAGTGGCAAGTATCTTTTCTCTTTTTTTTCCCCCTCTTTGCCTATGGGGTGAGGAAGCTAAGAGCATTTAGGTCAGATGTTGGCCCCGTCCTTTGCCTTGGTGATAGCCAAGTAACTTCATTCAGAAGAAAAGGGGCTGATAGTGTCCCCATCAATACATTCCCCAAATCCTTCTGATCAGCCTGTGCCCCTTGCCAACTGTCTCTTGTGCATATCACAGGATCAGGAAATCTGCATGCTCCCTTCCCCTGGACTCTCAGGCTACCTCCTCTCTTGTTAAGTTCTGCATATGGGGAGCCATGAATGCAGACTGAAGACAGGAAAAAAGGAGACTTCCTTCATCTCATACCTGCTGTTCCTACTTCTCCAGCAGCAGAGAGCACTCCTCACACTCAGCCCCAGTGGCACAGCGCTTCCCTCAGAGATCCAAGCACAGACTATGTAAGGGCCTTCCTTCCCGTCCCTGGGCTCTGATCCTGATGTCACTACTCCTTGTGCCCAGGCCTTAAATATGGCGAACAGCATCCATGGTAACACCTGTGGCCCCGGGGTATTTACAGCCTTGTCCAATCCCCTCTTCTTCAGGAACTTGCTTCTAGGAGAAGATGGCTACAGGCAGCCCTTTCATTCTCCGATTAGGTTACAGAGCCCTGACTTTATCGTGCTAACACTCTCTTTTTGCTGACCTTGATGAAGCGAACTGCCAAGCTGGAGTCAGCCTCAGATGGTTGAGAGCTGAGGGCAAGCACTAATAGAGGCCTTCAGTGTTGCATCCCCTAAGAAACTTTCTCCCGTCAGTGTTCATATCAGATTAGAAAAAAAAAATGGGTTCTTGCTCAGTTGAACCTTGCTGAGACTTGAACCCTGGCTGGAGCTCTAACTGAAATCTCTCACAGCAGACCCTAAATCTGGGATTTGGTTAAGCCATGACTGGAGTCCTCACCACAGAAACTGTGGGACCATACGCATGCATTATTAGAAGTTTTTAATCTTGAGTGATTTGGTAGGCAGCAATAGTTTGCCAATCTGTTGTCTGAGATTCGTAATGTATAGGTTTACTCTGTTCTCTGAGTGATCCTTCAGCCTTCTTGAATTAGTTTTAAATGCCTAACATACTCTTGTTTTGATAAAATCTTATTACTTCTTTTCCCTTTATGGCCAAATGACTTAAAAAAAAAAAAACCAAACAGTCTCATTTAAGTAATTTGCTCTTGACCCAGTGATCATGTCTGTATCCTCTTGTCCACGTCTTAAGTAGGGCAGGGAGTGAACACTGGTTTTGGCAAAGTCCTGGGTTTAGATTCTGCCTGTTTCCCAAAGCAAGTCACTAAACCATTTACTGATAAGCTTCCACTGCTTTAACTAGAAAACAAAGATTAACAAAACAACCTTCTCTTGTTAATCTTACTTTAAAAGAGTGTTGCAACAGGTATCAATACATTAGCATAATGCCTAACTCACAGGATATGCTAAGAAACTGGGATCATGCCCCACCTACCACAGTCTGGAATTAGCATCCCTTCTGTTTTACATAGCCAAATGTGACCGTCCTGGGGCAATTTGAATGAAAAAAAAAAAAACCCAACCCCCACAGGCACTATTAGTAGGTGTGGCCTTGTTAGATGAAGTAGGTCACTGGGTCACTGGAGGTGGGCTTTGAGGTTTCAGAAGCTCAAGTGTCTCTTCAGGTTCAGTGTCTCTGTCTTCCTGCTGCCTGCAGATCCAGATGTACAACTCTTGGCTCCTTCTCCAGCACCACGCTTGCCTGTGTGCTGCCATGCTTCCTGCCATGATGATAATGGACTAAACCTCTAAACTCTAAGTCAGCTCCAATTAAACGTTTCCCTTTATAAGAGTTGCTGTGGTCATGATGATTCTTTACTGCTATAAAACCCTAACTAAGAAATGCCCCAAGACACCTTCTTCCATAAATTCATGCATTATTTCTTTACAAGAGGAGTCCTAAGCTTCCTGAAATATCTTGTGCCCAGCCACGGGACAAGAAGAAGGAAGAAAAGCTAGATTCGTATTCTTAGACCCTTTTAAATCTTCTGAACACCTACTGCGTGGCCAGATTTCCTGTTGACATTAAACAGACGTGCTAGCATAAATGCAAAGGATGCTACAAAACTTCCAAATAAAACAACGTCAAAAAATAACACAGCTAAGAAATACCATGTCTGTTCTTCAAAACTCTTCCTCTTTATGTTTGGCTTTACAATAGCAGAAGCAACCAACACAATCAAAAGCATCCTCCCTCCTTGGAGTCCAGCATGAGTAGCACAGCGTATGTGGCTCTGTGCCATGGTTATAGAAGGCATATTATTTAGTGTAATTTGCTTTATGTCTTAAATAAACTCAAATGCTTTTGTCTAACCCAATTCTATCAAAAGCAAAATTCTGCATGAGGCTGAGGCATGATTTCTTAATCATCTAAAAATGAACCCACAATGACCATTCCCAGACACATAAGAGAACAGCCAGCCTCACCTTCATCTCAGGATACATGTAGCGGTGAATGGAAGGCAACCAGTAGACAGGTGGCAAGCTGCCACCCCTCCCGGGGCCAGCATGGAGCACCCCTTTCTTGTCTTCATAGAATGCAGCCAGATGAGAGTAATGTCCCGGCATCTCCAGCTGGTGTCTGTGTAACACACATATACAGTGAGCAGCTCTGCCCAGCATAACTGCATATTTCTACCCAAAGGGCTAAAGGTCTGGATGCACTCACAACACCTGCACCTGGAGGTTCCCTTCAAGTCTCCACTACTGTTAGAGAAGATCTTTATGCAAAGCTCAAACATGAGGCCTGAGATTCAACAGCACCACGTAATAGATTTGGAACAAACAGGTTTGTCTAGTGTCTAATTCTTGAGCAACCTGTGTTGCAGATCACACGTACTTCTCAGAGCACTGTTTATATTGTGAAAAGAGACAACCCAGAAGACCACACACTCCATGTCTTTGCTTTGTTTTGTGTAGAATGTGTGCCTGAATGTGCTGTTACAATGGAACAGTGAGATCTGAGCCCTCAATGCTCCAAAGGGAGGAGGGGGGACAGTTATGACTGAAGGCCACTGAGGGCTCATACTTCCAGATCAGCTAAATGAATCAGAATCTCTCCTCCCCATACCCTACCCCTGTCTCAGCCTCTGCTCAGGCTTGTCAACCAACCCTCAGATCAAGACAATAGCACTGAGGTCCTAGACCCCTTGGACGATGAGAATGACGCCTCCAGGCCAAGGCTTTCTGTTGAAAGGGATGTTAGAGGTTGATTTTGTTCCCTCTCCAAAGATATGGTGGAATCCTGGGCCTTTATCTTGGTACCCAAGAAGATGGCTTTATTTGGATGGACCTTAGGGGGCAGTTAGGTTAGAGAAAGGTCTTTTGAGGGAACCCAGATTCTATGTGACTTAAAAAGGGGAAATTACACATGCACACACAAAAGTGTGGGGTAGACACGTGAGGATGACTGCAGACACTGAGGGGATTCAGATGCCCAGGATCCCAGAGATGGCCAGCAAAGCACAGAGCCAGGAGAGACGTGGGAAGTGGCCCTGCTGACACTGACAACTCTTAAGTCTCTGGAACTATGAGACAGTACGTTTCTTTTGTCTAATTACAGATACTGTTACCTAGTCCCAGCAAGGTAATATAAGGATGAATAAAAAGCTCCAAACACCTCTGAACCTTGATTTATTTTCTCAGAGCCTTCCAGTGACCACCAAACAATGAAAAAAGCTTCAGAGAGGCAGAGACATCCCTAACTGTGGCTGAAACAACACTGATAAGTAATATCTCAGCTCCTCCTTCCACCGACACGCCATGAAACCTACTCCAAGTTGGAAGACAAGTTGCTCAGAGTCAAGATTTCCACTGAAAACGTAGTAGCAGCTGTTTTCAGTCAGTGCCAGCCCAGAGTGGCTTCCAGCACTCAGCAACAAGATGATGGCAAGAGACTTTGTGGACAAATTTGTATTCAATCAGAAAGATGACAATCATCATTGTACTTAAGATATTATTAGCTGTGTCTGTGACAGTGCACATCTATAATCCAAGCACTTGGGAGGCTGAGGCAGGAGAATCATAAAGTTAAGGTCAGCCTGGACTACACAGTGGGACCCTGCCTCCACCCCAAGAAAACTTTAGAAAATAATTACTAAAAATAAGTGCCTCTTTCTAACTTTAGGAGCCTGAAAAGCTATGATTCAGGAGGCAGCTATGTGTTTGGTACTGATAAACAAACATTCAGGTGCTTTGAGCAACCACTGTCACTCTCAGAAATGCTCCTGGGATGGACAGGAAAGCCTGGGTGGCTAAGGGCTGGCTGGATGTTCTGAGAAGGCAGTGGCTTGCAGGTACTCTCCAGGGAAATGTGTCAAGTTCGATGCATAGGTGAAGTTCAAATGTGTCTGATTTAGGCTCCATTTTGCCTTAAAAGCCCACCAAGAATTTCTATATTCTGTCTTTAAAAAGGTAACTTATACCCAGGGGAATTTAAAAACGTACCTTCGTTTTCTGTTTGCCAATTTGCTACTCAATTGTGGGCCTTGACTTTTTGACTATAGTCAACACTGTATTTGGATGAAGATTCTACAAAAATAAAGTCAGTACTGTGAGTCTTTCAGACAAAAGCTAGAGACAGAGGCAGCTTTTCCACTAAGCCTGGCAACCTGAGTTTGATCTCTGATTCCACTCCCACACACAGAGGACAAATGTATAGCTCTAAAAAGAAAACAACTAATGTCAGAACTCTGTCCTTTGACAGCCTAAGGTGTCACTGCCTGATAGGACAGAGTGGCAGTAATACACAATGGAGAAGAGAACACGGACTCAGAGGCACGAATAGAAATGTACAGTTCAGAGATGACTGTTATCAAAGATGGATATGATGAGGTGATCAATAAGGTAAATTCAAACTCCACTAAAGCGCTTCCCAAGCCACCCATATCAACTGATCAAGAGTACTGCTGTAAACAGTGACGATAAATGACTCAGTGAGTGCTGTGGATACGAAGCCTCCACTGTGTGAACCAGACCAGGGCTTCCCCTGTAGGACCAGCCACTCTAGGGTTCTCTTTAAGCCCACAACCCCCTCCCTGTACTGTGTGCAGAAGTGATGTGTTCAAGATGCAGTCTCTGCTTCGATCTGTCTCTTTACTGGCTGAAATGTCAGGTGAGTCACAGTCCACCATCACGCTGGGAGATGGGTGAGATGGAGGGCCCTCACTCCAGTCACCACCCACACTGGAACGCTTCTCTCCATCTGGCCTCAAACCCTGTGCTAGAAAGCTGGAGTTCTGACTTGTTCGAACTGCTGTACTCTGGGGTCTCCTCTTTGTTATAGGAATTTAGCTTCTAGTTTAGCTAAAGCAGACATTGGTACCCAGGAAATGAGTTACTGCGGAATCAAGAAACCACAGTGTTGAGGTATTGGCTTAGAAGCTGAAGAAGAGAGTAAGGAAGGAGAGGAGGGGAGGGGAGAGGAGGGGAGGGGAGGG